TAGAAAGGTAAGTAAATATTCCTGACAAACATTAATTCTTGAACTCTGAGCTCTAGAAGTTTAGAATTTGCTTTTCTCCTGTTATTTGGAGGGGATATTTTCATAGAGAGGCCCTCTTTTTTTCAGCATCTTCTCTGCTCAACAGAGGCTGACATAATGGGCAGAACCTTGGCCGCACCTGCCAGGGCAGAGGCATGCCTAGAGGAGTGAGTGTGGGGCCATTACGTCTTAGTTCCTTAGGGTCAGGGCCGTAGACCTCCACTGATAAGGAGAGCTTGTCCCTTGTTTTGCTCTTTTTTAACAGATGTTAAATAGTCTAAGAAATCACAGAGAAGACTTCTGGCAACTGTATATTTCTGAACAGAGGGAGGTGAGACCATTTTGTGGCTTGCATTTTGGCATTTGCTTTCTGTTACCTTATGTGTGCTGAAGAGTTCCAAATGTTTTTCTCCCTCTGAAATTCCTCTCCCAAGATCCAGACTTGTATTTCCAGCTGCCCAATCTTGACCTGCAGGCATTTCTAACATTTAATAGATCCAGAATGAAACTCACTTCAGCCCCCGAACTTGCTTTATCTCTGGCATTCTTGATTTTAGCTAATAACTTCTTCCCTATATAATTGGATTTTAAACAGCAGCATATACATTTTACATTCATGATTTATTGTGCACACACACAAAGATGCAACTTGAATGAAAGTTTCATAAAACAATAGGTACCTTTATATTTATGTTACCCTCTGATATCGTCTCTTGAATTTCACCTTTTGAAAAGTGCTGATGTCAACTCCCTTGATGAATTTTACTTACAATCCCCCAACCTGTCATGTGACCTGCAATTTGAGTAAACCTCAAACAGATAAAATGCAGTCTCCTTGGATTTAGTATGTGGCCTCTGCTTCCCATCGTGTAGCCCCATCTGCAGTGTAGCCACAGTGTTATCCAGACACACCATTCATTCATTAATTCATTCATTCATTCAGTCAGTCAGTCAGTCGACATTTACTGGGCACATATCTGGTGCCAGGCACGTGGTACACTAACTCTCCAGAGATCAACATCATCATCTCCACTCTGAGGACCACAGTCCAGTGAGGAGACAGAGGAGTATTCTAGCAATTACCAGGTAGTGATTAGGTTCTATAATAGAAGCTTGCATAAAGCACTCAGACATCACAAAGAGGCAGCATATAACTTGGACCAGAGAATCCAGAGGCTCTTTCTGGAAAAAGTGAACCATGAACTGAAGCTACAAATGGAGGTAGGAGTTCAGCTGGTTAAATCAGGGCAGGGCATTAGGGAAGAGGAATCCACTGTAAGAAGACATGGGGATTGAGCAGCATGTTAGTTTGGAGGGCTGAAAGTGTTGTGACATAAGCCTCTCCTTATATGTGGATACTCTACTGTCACTCCCACCTTTTCTTTACTTGGCAACCAGTGATTCAGTGTTCCCTATCCCACTAAGCCACCCTCTCCTGGTAGCGTTTCTCTCTGCCCCCAGGGAGACTCAAGCCACCCTCCTTTGGGCTCTGACCTCACCCTCCCACACCATCAACTTTGTTATATTGAAGGCCATTCATCACCGCCCCTGTTCATCTGTATGACTAGACCAGGAGCACCTCAAGGCAGAATCCAAGTCCCATCCTTACATCTTTTGTGAGGAATGCAATAAGTGTTAGCCAAATAAAGAGCTAAAACAACAAAAGGAATGAGGAGATGGACAAGCCACGGGCACCAGTTTAGGGTAAGTCTACTTAAATGGACGTGTAGAAGACTTTTCAGTATATCATAGATGGAAAGGGGCTTCAGGTATCATAAACTGCTTATTTACAGAGCTGGGAACCACATTTTAAATGTTGGTAGCACATCAGATGCAATTTTCTTTTTATTTTTGTTTTATTTGCAAAAGATTATTTTTGACTTTTAGAAAATACTCTTTCTTCTAACTTAAATGTATCTGTGGTAATGGAATTTGTTAGTGAATTAATACAAATGAAAATCTGGCATCAGAGACCACAAACACAAACTCTCTTCAGTGCACATGTAGCTAATTATTGTCAACCATACATTAAACCCAAGCTATTTTTTCCAAAATGGCTTTTACAGAAAGCAAAATTAAATTTTAATTACTCTTTTCCTTTTCCCACTTTCTGCCCACTTTGCATTTGTGTGTAAATGGTTCAGGGTTGTAAGCAGGACAGTTTGAGGTCTGGAATCTCAATAGTCAAGCCTATAACTGAAAAAAAAAAAAAAGTCTAATGTATTTTTCTTTTTGCTGGTAATTTTTATGATATGACCATAATATTTCATAACCACTTTGAAACAGAACACTGGGTATGGATGAGGATAATGCCTGCGAAAAAGTTTTGCTAATGCAAGCATTGTAGAAACAGAGGCAGCCAGGAAAACAATTGTACTTTATTAGGAGCAAGAGAACAGGGCTCAGATTCTGGCTGGACTTCCATTGTTTAGAAAACTTTCAGAGGCTCTATTTTCATATGTGACAGATTGGCTGTGTTCAAGTTGTGATTGTGAGCTGACATTTTCTCCCTTTTGTTGCTAAAATTTAGTACTGTTGAACTCCTTTGTCCTTCATGCAAATTTTAGTGAGAACAAAGTGGAGCATTTCCAGCTTAGCTATATGTGCTGCCTACAAACTTGATTGTCTCCTCTTGAAATAATGGTTGGGATTATTGAAAAGAAACGGAGAAATGCCTTTTGCAGAGACACTGTTACTGTAATCGTTTATGTCAGAGACAATGCTTTGTCTCTTTTCTCATGTTACAACTCTTCCAGCCCTCTTGCCTGCCTCCTTCCCCCAGTCATCCAGCCCATCAATAATGTGATCTAGTTGGTGTAGATCTATCTATTGTTGTTAGTATTAATTAGTGCTTTAAAAAGTAACCATGAGTCTTAAAAGAATAATTTTTATTTTCTAATTTGCTGATGCTGGATTCATGTTTCAGCCAGGAACATAAATACATGTATTCACCAGAGTAGGAAGCAGTGAGTTTGGCACTTATTATATCTTTGCCACTCTTTGATGTCACTGCCATGTCACCTGCTAGTAAATAGATACATGAACAATCTGAGCCCGGTATTACCTTATTGTCTAGTAGTGCCTGCAAATCCTCAGATCAAGTGAATATGCTTCATTTCTTCTGTTGATGAAGAGTCAAACTCTGTAAGAGATTTATTCTGAGCCAAATATGAGTGACCAATGGCTTATGACACAGCCCTCAGTAGATCTTGAGAACATGTGCCCAAGGTTGTCAGGCTGCAGTTGGGTTATATACATTTTAATGAGACATAACACATCAGTCAATACATGTAAGATGTATATTGGTTTAGTCCAGAAGGGCAGGACAACTGGAAGTGGCGGCTTCCAGGTCATAGGTGGATTCCAGAATTTTCTGATTGGCAATTGATTGAAAGAATTATCATCTAAAGACCTGGAATCAGTAGGAATGTGTGGGTTACCAAAAGGGTAGAGAGCACGCCTTTATCATGCAGATGAAGCCTCCAGTTAGCAGGCTTCAGAGAGAATAGATTGTAAATGTTTCTTATCAGACTTACAGAGTCTGTTCTATCAGTCTTATGGTCTGTGTTGATGTTACACTGGTCAGCTGTCCCTGAATTCCAAAAAGGAGGTGGGTATAATGAGGCATGTCTGGCTGCCTTTCCCATCATGGCCTGAACTAGTTTTTCAGGTTAATTTTGGAATGTCTTTGGCTGAGAGGAGGGATCTGTTCAGATGGTTGAGGGGCTTATAATTTTATTCTTGGTTTACACCTCTCATAATCTCTAGTGGTCCTTCACCTCTGCCAGTTTCCAGCTTTATCTCTTGCCCTTTTTTAACCTGTTTGTCTATCCATGTTTATCCAATATAGTTTGAATGACAGCATCTGGCACCAACTTGCTTGAACATAGAGCCCCTATGGAAAAAGTGGGCAGTCTAAATATTCCCCACATGGCTGGAGCCTCCCTATCTGACCCGAATCAGTTTTCTGTGGGTTCTTTGAATAATAATCTGATACTGACATAGTTCTGTGTGCCAGGTAGCATTCTCCACACAATTGAGGTAGGTGGAATTAACACCCCCCAGTTTACAAATGAGGAAACTGAAACTCAGTGGGGCTACTTCTCTGCCAAAGCTTACATGGCTAGTAAATAGGGGAGCAAAGATTTGAACTCAAGGTGTCTTCAGAGTCTGGCCTTTTAACCCTGAATTTCCCCTTTCTAGACTCTTAACCCTGAAACTGCATTTTCAATCAGCAATTTGCCATGATCATTGAGTATAACAGCTATAGATCAGGGGACAGAATATTCAAATGGAGTGTGTCCAGTTACATGTGAGCTGGAATTGCCCATTTCCCCAGATCAAAGATTGTATTGATAGAAAATCAGGTGGGGTAAGAAGATGGATGTACAGATAGAAAAAGGAAAACATGTAGGAAGAACAGTATTTTGGCAAAAGGAAACTGTAAATCACATAATTACAGATTTTAACTGTAATGAGAGACTTTGAGCATTCTAAGCTGTCGACCTGCCTCTTTGAAACATTATGATGCTCAGACAGAGGATGTGGGGTAGAAATGGCAGCATCGTTGGAATTGTTAAATGACGAAACATGTGATACTGGAGTGAAAGATGAAAGCTCATGAAAGAATCATGAGGGACACATACAAACTTTATTCAGCAGCATGAAGATGACAGCTTATTGTTTGATTCCTTAGCCTGTTTATTAAGTTTGGACTTGATAAAATATAGCAGATTTAACTTGTCTTACCACATTCAGCTGTATTTATTATAACACAGATTCATCTTGGGTGGCTCTTTAGCAGGATTTGTTTTTACTGAAATAAAATCCCTGGCACATGATAATGGAAAAAAGAAATACCAGAGTTTCATAATATGTAGTGTACTACTTTTCTACACTTGAGAATTTTGAGTGCTTTGGAAATAATAAGGCTGTTTCCACAATTTCCTGCTCTCCACTAGGTTCTTGGAACGCCAAATGAGGACACATGGCCTGGAGTTCATTCTTTACCACATTTTAAGCCAGGTATGTTTCATTAATTACAGATTACTAGGTGCTTCCTATGTGCAAAAAGTGAGTATATAAATGTTCCCTCTCAAGCAATATACCACCTTGAAAAATTCTGGTTACTTTTGCCATTGTGTACTTTATTAATGGAATTGTCCTTTTGTTTTCACAAATTATTTGTCTGTGAAGGCAGAGTTAATGACATCCCTGATAATTTTCCCCATATGTACCTTGTTTGATTTGACTGCATAATCTTGCAGTAACCATTCATTTCATCATCAGTTAGACTAGCATCCATGTCTGTTAAAACAAAATTTAAATTGAGGTGCCCAATCCATCTGTGTCACTTTTTGTAGTAAGTAACCGGGAAAAGTATTGAATTGTAAAAAGGAAACATCACATTTTTATTTTTTTAGTAAAACTCATAAATATATGGTCTATAATTTGAATTTAAACATGTAAGATGTTCTGAATGTCCTATTGTACAGCATTCAATATGTTTTAATGTAAAATATTTAAAGCTAGACACTGAAAAATCTCAAAGAAATGTGAACTTTTAAAATAAGTTGTACTTTTTTTCGCCAGTAGGTGGCAGGTGTGAAACTTTGTTTTAATCATTAATTTAACAGGCAAATCTCAAACATAGTCTAATTTTTATAAGAGAGGGGAAAGGTTCGGAATTGAAAATTTAATAAAATCAGTGAAATGAATTATTGTAAAATGATTATCTTGTTGATGTTTTTTTTTCTTTTCTCAATTATAAAACATGGTTTACAAAATGCAGACCCACCATAAAATTACTGAAAGGGATTTTATAGAAGCTCTAATAGTCTATTATACTAGGAGGGAAAAGAGCTATGAATAATATCTGATAGAGAAGCCAAGAATATTCTTTTGCTTCTCTTCCCCTCTTTTGGGGAGCCATCAGGAATAAATTATCAGTTCCAAAGAATGACTGAGTTGGGAAACTATTTTTACTCTTAATATTTTTCTTCTGAAAGTGTACAGTGTGTTGAGAATTCTTTTATCTTCTTCAACTGCCCTAAAGACTCCTTGTACTTTTACTGGAAATTCTAAATGACTTCTATATTCTGAAAGACTGTAGAAACCTAACAATTTTAAATGGACTGACTTTCTTTCTTTTTTAATTAAGCAAGAGGTGTCCTCTAACTGATCCAAGTGTTCCTAATGGAGTCTAAATGAAAAACACAGTTCTTTGTAAACGATCCAATTGTGGGCTCTTAAAGAAGGTTAACTTCCCCATGTTAGGACCTAAAATTTTAAGTCCCAGGCAAATAAAACAAGAGAATTTGAAAAGGTGTGAAATGAATAGAGTTAGATGCAGAAAGGAACAATTAAGGTGAAATCATTTGGCATGCCTAGTTTCTGGACTAGAAAACGTGGAGTAATTTATGTGTTTTGGTGGTAGTAGAATTTATCTTCATCAACAACATACAAAACCATTTATTAGTTGTATTTTGGAAGGTACTAGGATAGGTGTACATTAAGCTAATGGATTGTGAACTTCATGACACCAGGGCCTATTCACTGAACATATTTGGTGTTGGATAAATATTTGTTGCGCTGGAGTATATTAAATGTTAAAACAGACATTATGTATGTGACTCCTCTGGTGGGCATATATAAACTAGAATGTTTATGTTAAGTTATTAACATTATGTGTAAGCCCCACAACAGACACAAAATACCTAGAAGGTAATGGGGAGACAGAATAATAACATATGGAGAGGGTGGAAGGTGTGGGTGCTGATGAGCAAGAAGCTTATTCCAAGCAGAGCTCAGGGCTGTGAACCATAGCTCATAAATATGATAAGTGTTTCCTGAGTTTGCTTGAAAGGAGCCAAAAGAAGACAAAACAATAGACTGAGTCAAAGGAAGCAAATCTCTGAGTCCTTCCAAGCAGCACTTCCCAGATCATCCAGAGGAGCCCCAGTCCCTGACCTCACAGACCTCATTGTCCTGGGGAAGAAAATATATAATCCCAAATGAGAAAAATGTCAGTACTAGAGTCTGCCCATCCCAACCCTACTCTCCAGCTCCTTGATCTACCCCAAAGAGTGCCCTGAAGAGTCTGGAAAAGATCATCTAAGACATAAGGACAAAGTTTGTTTAATTTTCTAATAGTAAATTTAAGCAATCAAAAAGTCAAGCAGTATGAAAAAGGAGCATAGTACAGAGCCTCCTCCCCTCTCCCAACTTCCCCAGAGCCACTGACCCCACCACAGGCCCCCAGCGTATTAGTTTCTTATGTTTATTTCCTTCATGTTAATGTAAAAATTGATATTAATTTTTACTTTTCTCATATTAAATACAATTCCACATCTTGTTTTTCTCATTAATGCATCTCATCGATCTTCTCATGTCATTTTGGGGAGGAGGCCAATGTGGCTTCCCTCTTGTCTCATAGAGCTGCATTGTTTTCTGGTGTATGCATTTAACCCATTCCCTAATCACGGACAGTTGGGTTGTTGTTTCTATTGCTTTGCTATTATAAATATTAAGCATTGAGTAACCTTGTGCCTATACATAGACATATGCATTGCATATGTGCAAGTATATTTGAAAAATAAATAAGGAGAAATAAGGTTAATGAACCAATAAGTATAGAAAATTATAATTTTGACCACTTTTGTCAAACTGTTTTCCAAAAGGGTGGTATCTGTTGTCTCTGTTGCCAGCAATACAGGAGAATACTTCTTCCCACAGCTGCTTCTCCTCTCTATACTGTGTGACCAAACTTTTGGATTTTGCCAGTCAATTAGATGACAAAAGGAATTCCAATAAAATTTTAATTTGCATGCCTCTTATTATGATGAGGTTGAGCATCTTTTGATATGTTTCAGAATCATTTGCATTTTCTTTAATCTGAATTCTTTATATCTTTTGGCCAATTTTTAGTTGAGTTGTGTGTCTTTTTATTTTTTAATCTATTTCTAGAGATTCTTTATATTTTATTTTATTTTTAGTGATGTTGCCCAGGTGGGAGTGCAGTGGTACGATTACAGCTCACTGCAGTGTCAACCTTCCAGGTTCAAGTGATCCTCCCTGCTCAGCCTCTCAGGTAGCTGGAACTATAGGTGTATACCACTATGCATGGCTAATTTTTTTTTAATCTTTTGTAGAGATGGGGGTCTTGCTATGTTGTCAGGGGTGGTCTCGAACTCCTGGGCTCAAGCAATCCTCCCAGCTCCACCTCCCAAAATGCTGGGATTACAGGCATAAGCTACCGTGCCCAACTGAGTTCCTTATATTTAAGAGAAATTGTCCCTTTGTCCATGAAAAACTTTTGCTTCTTTGGGATTTAGAAAATGATCCTTTCTAATTTTTAAGCAATTTTGAAAATAATTCTTGTCTTTGTCTCTCATGTCTTCCTTGACTTGCCTAACTAACTTTTGCCTTGAGAAAAGCCCATGGTGTTTTTATAATAGTGGAGTTATGATTTTTAAAAAATAGAGACAGAGTCTTGTTATTTTGGCCAGACTAGTCTTGAACTCTTGATGTCAAGCAGTTCTCTCACCTTGGCCTCCCAAAGTGCTGGAATTACAGGCCACTGTGCCTGACCACAATTTTTTTAAAGACCAATTTCTGTTATATATGTGTGTGTGTGTGTATATAAAAAACGAAAAACCAGTTTAGGTTTTCAAGTAGATTACTTTATGGCTATGATCTAGGTCATGCATAAATCTCTTGGTTTTAACGTATCCTAACCCAATTTCCTAATAGTTATTTTTTAAATAACTTACTTTGATAGTTAATTTCTATGAAATAAGCTGAATTCACCTATTATTTCAGCAGTATTTCCTGAAACTACTTGTATGTCTATGGACTGGAGATGTTGCATTGAACAAAACACAAATGATAGTAAGTGAAATATATCGTGTAATTGGATGGTGATAAGTACTATGGAGGAAAATGGAGCAAGAAACTGGTTCCGGAATTTACAGTTTAAATAGGGTGGGAAAGTGGGCGATTTACAGTTTAAATAGGGTGATCCAGGAAGGCCTCCCTGAAAAGAAGACACATGAATGAAGAAAATGAGAGACAGAGTCAATAAGATATTGAGGGAAGAACTCTTTAGACAGAGAGAAAAGCAAGCACCAATGCCCTGAATGGGAGGGAGTGGAGGGCTGAAAATGAAGTCACAGATCACGTAGGGCCTGGGGGGTACTCTGAGTCCTTCACCATGGATCTGAGTGAGATAGAAAGCTCTGGAAGATTTTGAACAAGGCAGCACGGGAGCTGGTTTATGTTTTAGTAAGACTACCCCAGCTATTGTACTGAGAACTGGGGGTCAGAGCAGAATCAGGGAAGCCCATTAGGAGCCTGTGACAGGAGTCCAGGGGAGAGGCGACGAAATATACCGTGAATAAAATGACCTTCTCTTTTCAACTTCTCTGATTATCCAGAACTCACCATGGTTTTCCCTTGGAAAAAAAGTATAACGAAACTGGAGAAATATTTTTAATATAATTATTGAAATAGTAAAAGAACATTTAGTTTAAAACTGAGCTTTATTCTTTAGTATTTAACCTGTATCTCCTCAGCATATTCCCATAGCAACCAGGCAACTATAATAGGTTACAACAGCATTATATATTATAAAGTGTGTGCATGTTACATACAGTAAGGAGTCTGTGTTAGTCTCATTTGTGTTGCTATAAAGGAATACATGAGACTGGGTAATTTACAAAGAAAGAGGATCTGTTGGCTCCAGGATCTTCAGGCTGTACAAGAAGCATGACACCAGCATCTGCTTCTGGTGGGGGCCTCAAGAAGCTTCCAGTTATAGCAGAAGGTAAAGGAGGAGCATATCGCATGGTAAGAGAGGGAGCAAAAGAGAAGAGAGGACTTCCCTAAATTTAGTGTCAGAGGTGGAAGTAGATCCCAGGTCTCCCTGAGTCTTAGTTGAGTGTGATTTTTGTTTTTGTTTCTGTTTTCCAGCCTCCGTTATGAAATAGCGTTCTACTGAATACGTATTGCAGTTTCTCTTTGCTCTT